CTCATGTTCTTTGTATTTTTGTGCAACCCCAGTGTCAATCTGTTTCCGTAATGAGCTGTAATTCAACTTATCCTTTTGTTCCGGGTCTCTAATTTGGCCTGTTATTTTAAATTGACGCCTAAGGACACTTGTGGATTCAACAAGAGCGTGCAAGGAGGGTAGCGTGTCACCACTTGGTTGTGGGCTTAACTCTGGCTTGCCCTTACCACCCGATTTCGAGATGTGCTGTTTGTGCAGTAGCTTAAGCTCTTCGATCTCTTTCTTTAAACCTTTGAATAACTCACTCTTATCTTCATCAACATCTTCGAGTGGCGGTGGAATGTCAATAAACATCTTAACAATAGCTTGAAGGAAAGTCACTTTCTCTTCTTCCTCGATACTTATCAATTCTTTCTCAATATCATTTGTGATAATAAAATAATTGAGACTTTCGTTTTATCCTTCACGTTTTCTTCCTTAATTTTTAGATATTTTGCAACAAGCTTAATCTGCTCTACGTTGGCCTTGCAAAGTTCCATGTGAATTCTCAATTGAAGCTCCTCCGCCATCTCTTTACTTGAATTTTGATCGTGATAACTTACTCGGGAGTTATACAAGCTGTTTAGTTTTCTCTTACCTCGTCCATCATTTGATAATTAAGACAGTTCGCTCGGTCGAGTGGCCATCGCTCGATGCTGCTCGATGTAATCGAATTGCTTCTGGACTTTTCGAATTTTCCGCATGAAACGACGACCGTTTTTCCCTCTGTCGGCTGATTAGCCTTGCCAGAAACACCAATTATGTTACTCGGTCGCCGAATAAACTTTGAAACTATTGAACCATGTGCTTTCTTTTTTTCTCTCGTCTTCTTCTTTTTACCACAAGGGCTTATGGGTAAATACACTCACGGGTGCTCATGGGTCACGGACCTCACACATTCACCCGTTGACAGTCATTATCAATCTAAACTTAACTTCAAAAGTACATCATGCTTGCATCACTTTTAAGACTTTTCTTTACAGAATTGCAATAACGTTTCCGTGGTAATATGTCTCGCAAACTTAATAATAATAATGATAATAATAATAATAATAATAATAATGACCTTTATCATCATACTTCCACATAGTGGCTCTTCGCTACTAATATAAAAAAACTAACTATATACATAATACTTACAATAAATCAAAATTGATAAAATAGTGAATAATAAAAGCTATAATAGATTATCCATTGTATGTCAGTATGTGTCTTTTAAGATTTATACAAAGAAGTGCATGGTCACTGCAATTCCTTAGCTCGCAGGAAGCTTATTAAAAGCTTCTGCAGCTTGATCTTGTAAAGTGTTCTTCTCAATTTTGTTGGCAAGTTCTAATTTTGGTGGAGCTAATGACCTGTGTTGCTTGAGTTTTAGTGGAAAGTCCTCATTGTATAATGACTTGTGCGCTAGCTTAGCTATATTAAATTCTAAACGCTCTTTGATTGTGAGCCAACCTAGCTTTCTAACATCCTGGAGTCCAGCAAATTTAGTTAACACAAAACCCTTAGTTCACAACCACTTAATTCACAACACTTAATTCACAAACTAGGATGTAATCACTGTGCACACTTATGACAATAAAAGTACGTAAAGCTGTACCTCCACTTCTTCTTCTTCTTCTTAAATTAATTTAATAATAATTTCTTATATAGCGCATTAAAATTGAACTCTATGCGCTTTACAATTACAATTAACAAAATTTCAATAAAAATCATATACATGCTTTTTTCGCTACTCTATCTAAACTAATGAATTATTACGTGTTATACATATATTTGACAACGTACGTTATCAAAAAATTAATTTTTGTGGATTAATTTTTGAAAAGACAAGTTTTCATTAAGCATTTAAAGGAGTCAAAAAATTCGGCGTTTTTTATGCATTCAGGTAGTTGATTCCACAAATACGGTGCAGCGTAGGAGTTTTCTTCTTCTTCTTCAGACATTGGCTCTTCAGGCAACAACTATCAATATAAAAGATTTACTTGAAAACAAATAAAAACTGTGGAAAATGAGGAAAGCATGATACATATCGGCTATATCAATGTAAAAGCCCAGGAACAGCGATCATTTGCCTTCTCCCCTCCTCCCTCTAAAACCTACCAGCAAATAAGAGGCCATTGCAAAACAAAACCTTCCCCTCCCCCACCCCATGGTACCCATAACATTATTGCTCTTTGGTAGGGCATGTGGGACTTGATAGGATGTAAATGGTCTTTGTGAGCATGTAAGCCCAGTGCTTTTTTCAGGAATGCAAAAGCAGTCATCGCATTTCTCTTGGAAGCAGCAAGCACATTAGAAAAAAAATCAATGTATGAGCAGAAAGCACTCAGTAAATTTTCAGCTAACAACAGTCCTTTTTTGTTAATTTTCCACTTTGATCCAATCAGAATTTAGATATCATCCTTTCAGTACCACACTCTACCCCTGAATATGCCCTGTGATCTAATGGTATCTATAAATCTTCCAAATAAATGGTTGATTAGATGGCATTTAACCACACTTTTATTTTTGTACCAAGAAACCTATAAAGCAAGATTTGATAAATTTCAAGCAATTGCACAAATTTCAAGGAGTAAATAAGCAATTGCAATGCTTTTGCAAGTACAAGCAAGCCAAGACTCAAATAATGCCTGCTGTTGGATCGAACACTTGACAATTTGCTCTTGTGATTTACAAGCTTTTTTAGTGTCCTCCCAACATCACAAGTAGATTTAATGAACTGGCAAACCCCTAAGGAGTGTGGTTTATTGCTTTTATGAAATAACTAAGGGAAAGGTTCCGCTTTCAAAGAAATAGGAATCTATATCCTATTTCTTTATTAAATGTCTTATTCTTAACAAGTTCATTGGATGACAAGGTTAAACAATCACAGGTGCTGAAAGAATAAGACACAGGTACGGGTATAGCACCACACACAAAATCCACATATATAGGCAACAAAAGCATTTAAAAGTTATCTTAAAGTTATAAAAGTCATATATGAAAGGAAAGGAAAATGGCAAACTTCCACGGTACAATGTATCTAATGATTTTAAAGTTTCTTTCAGGAGGAAATTTAGTAAATTGTGGCACGAGTCATTTTTCCCAAAAGTACAAGACTACAAAAATTTTTCAAGTTTACAAACTTCACAGACTGACGAAAGGTATCAAGAATAAAGGTTACTTCCAGAAATCCTGCTTTAGAAATTTATTATGCATTTCTGGCATTCTTTAGTTATACCCTACAATTTTATGACAAGTAGGTCACCTAACAGCATAGCTGCAAAGGGCATATTGTTAGTAAGAGAAGGTCTCCGAAATCTGTGAATGACATGGTGTAAAATGAAGGATACGAAACACAATAGGCTCTTTTCACGCGGGAGCCATTTTGGAATGAAACCGAGGCTAATAACGCATGAAATCCAAGATGGCGGATAACCGGCCGAATGGGCCTGTTTATTCTGTAAGTTCACTAGTAGTTTCTAGCTGGACTTCTTCACTAGAGCGGCTTCCTGAAATTGTCATGAAAGATGCGGATGATTTTTTAAACGTAGAAAAAGCCCCTAAAAGTGGTCGCGTAAAAGGATACAGGTTCTTCGGGGAAGGATTTATCCACGAATTTCAAGGCTTGAGAAGCTCTTAGTTTTAGCTGTTCTCGTGTCACAGAACGTTAAATGGAAGGAGGTTCGTATCTTTTGTTTTAGTTGCTACACACCCTGAGAACGAGAGTAAAGTGTACATGAAGTGTAAGTGTTTTAAAGCACTAAAAAAGAACGAGGACCCGCATGAACTTAAGGTCAGTATATAGAATTTGTTTTGTTTATGAAGACTGAAGTTGCTATTCGTACGGTGGTCTTATTTTCTACTTTCTGTTCTTGTGGTAGTTTCAGATCACACTCCGATTTGAGACTGGTTAGATAATTCATAGGACGTGACAAGCGTGGCAATGACGAATGGTTGCTTAATAACTCGCTCTACAATACTATATCTCTTACTCCTCATTTCTGCTCAACTTTGCTATCGTTCCAATGGGAAATGCATTCATAAGAGCAAATCGGTTTTTTGCCCAAAATTCAGACTTACCTGGCTGGCCCACAACACGAGGTTTCTACACTATCCTTGCTTAACTAGCTCGTCTATCCGCCATCTTGGCAGAACAATCACCGGAAAAGGTTATTACAATAGACGCCTGAACTACTATTCTAATTCTTCGAGCTCCTACCAAGCTATACGAATGCATGTATCCGGAGACGTCTCCTTGAATCCTGGTCCCGATAAATGTATTATTTGCAACAAGACTGTGGCGACAAACCACAGGGCGGTTAGCTGTGACTCATGCAATGGATGGACTCACATAAAGTGCGGGAACATTAAGCCTAATCCGTATAAAGCTGTGCAATCGATGGATAACTTTGAATGGTTTTGCCAACCCTGTCTGGACGCTAGATTATCAAACAATGTTCCAGATAACACTGGTGATTGTGTACGACACGAAGACGACTACCTCGAAAGGTTTGCTGCCTCTTTGAATACATCGCACAACGATCTACGCATCGCGCATCTCAGTGTATGCAGTCTTCGAAATAAAATAGATGATATTCGTCTTCTACAGAAAATTAGCAGATTTGATGTCCTAGCAATCGGCGAAAGCCATTTAAACGCCTCAATACCTGATAATGTGCTACAAATTCCTGGTCTTAAATTCATACGTTGTGATAGATCTCAACGTAAAGGCGGCGGCGTGATCATGTATTATGCTGAACATTTATCCGTTAATCATCGCAGAGATTTGGCAGCCTCAGACATCGAAGCTCTCTGGATACAGGTTAAATTTCCTACAAACACTACTCTGTTCTCCGTAATCAATAGGTCTGAGCTAGAGTCTACGAATTTCTTTGAAAGCTTTCGTGGAGTCCTCGAAGAAGCTTGGCTTAAAAACTGACAGCATTTTTATACTTGGTGATTTTAACTGTTGTTTATTAAATAGGGGCCCTAATAACATGCCTACTTTTGGCAAAACGAAGAAGCTGTTAGGGACGTTTGAATACTTTAATATGCAAAACATTATCTCTCAACCAACTAGAATAACATCTACAACGGAGTTCCTAATTGACCTTATTGTTACAACTAAAGCAAACATGGTTCGTCAATGCGGCGTGCTGCCATTGGGCATATCTGATCACAGTTTAGTTTACGCCACTTTGAAATTGAAATCCAAAAGACCCCCTCCCAAGATTGTCCGCTCAAGAAACTTCAAGAGATGCAACATTCAAGATTTCAAGAAAGATATCGAACTTATACCTTTTCACCTACTGGACATATTCGAAGACAAAGACGACGTCCTTTGGGGCTGGAATCTTTTGTTCAACGATGTTTGTGATTTCCACTCCCCTTATAAAGACGTCAAGGTTCGCAGCGTCTGTTCACCATGGATTAACAGCGAAATAAGATTAAAGATGAACAAACGGTTTAAAATTTCAAAGTAGCCACTCGCACAAGAGATCCGGTCAAATGGAAGGAATACAAAAGATTACGTAATGAAATCACCACGGACGTACGTCGGGCGAAAACTAAACATTTCAAGAACCAACTAATTGAAATAAAAACCTCTGCGGAGTATTGGAATCTTCTTCGCAATGCCACTGCACCAAAACTTAGAAAGGCTATTGGACCCTTGAAGAGGGAAGATGGTTCTCTGGCAGTCGATAGTAAGGAAAAATCAAATCTGATGAATTCTTTCTTTTCTAATATAGGAATTAATCTAACAAGGAACTCTTCATTCACAAAAGTCAACCCTGCCACAACATTAAAGTCTGTTCCTATTATCAAAGACGTTATTTTATCAAAATCTGAAATTGAAAAGCCTTTATCAGATCTTAAATGGAATAAAGCTACCGGTCCCGACCAGATTTCTTCCAGAACTCTAAAAACTGCCGGGAATGCGTTGGTCCATCCATTATACCATATTTTTTGTGAAAGTCTAAGATCTGGCTACGTGTTTGAAGAATGGAAAGTGGCTAGGCTGAGCCCTATCCACAAAAAGGACGATGAGAGCGACATGGGCAACTATCGGCCAATTTCTATTCTCAGTATACCCAGCAAGATCCTTGAAT